GGGAAAAAGAAATTAATTAACTTTTTTATTTTTATTTTTTTTTGGTATACTTACCCAAAGTTGAAAGAAATTAAAATTTGATATTATCTTATCTGAAATAAAATTAAAAAATAATTATTATTATTAATAATTTTCAATCTGACACATCATTTAAAAACAAATGAGTAAGAAAAACTCATACCAGAACCTGGTAATAATAATAATAATAATAATAATCCGGGAAACAAAGGAAAAAAAAAATAATTTAAAAAAAAAAAAGTTTGGCTTTTAGTTTATGATGTCATTGATTTTTTTTTTTTTTTTAGTATTTTACTTAAAAAGAAAAAATTATTTAATGAAAAAGTTAATAATAAATTAATTAAAGTTTAATAAAAAAAGAAACAATAAAGAATAATAATAATAATAATTTTAAATTAAATTTAATTATTATAAAAAAATAAAAACTTTGAACATATTCAAAGCCCACGAATCAAACGTCCTTATTACGTCACGATTTCAAGGTATTAAGTAATAAGTTGAGGTTGTGCCTACCTTAAAAAAAAAGGATTTGAACAAATAATAAATAATATTTAATTATAAACTTACTTGTTTTCATTATTATTATTATTGATTAATATAATTTTATGTAAGAGAAAAATAAAAAATAAAATATCCGGTAGTAGAATAAAGAAGGAAAAATAAATTTCACTTTCACAGCAAAACAACACTTAAAAATTATTATTTAATTTTTTCAAACAACAAAAAAAATTTTTTTTCTTTAAAATCACATAAATAATCATAATAATACTTTTTGTTAATAAAAAATTTTGAATATCGAAAACGTTTTTTAAATTTTAATAAAACAAAATGTGGGATTTCACTTTTTTTTATGTATGGTCCGCCATTATGAATCCTCTGGTACTTACGGAAATACACTCTCACTGGTATTTGGAGACGGACTGAGGTAATACCAAAAGAAATAACTTTAAGGCGTACTTACTCACAATATGGCCGACGAACCTGACTGGAGTCACTTGACCTGCATAATACTATTAGGTATTAAAAATTTTTATTTTTACCATTTTATAAATGCTTTTATGAGCTTTAAAAAAAACAAAGGAACGTCGTGGAAATAGAAAAGGATTCGTTAACGTATATTCGATATACAAAAAACAGTTTACTTTACAAAAAAAAAAAAAGTTTTTATTTTTAAATTAGAAATTACTTATTACATAAGTATTGATAATTTATTTTACACATTTTAATAATGTCAGTAGTATGCAACATTGTAAACCTCACTTCCTATAAGGTTTTTCTACGTGATTGGTAAAACATAAACACCCAGTCTTTTCCAGTAGTAGTTCACATTTATTTATTTATTAAAATAAAACAAAATCGATTTGAATTTAATAATTAATTGCAAGAGAAATTTTAGATATTTTCTTGATTAAAAAAAAAATACATTGGTATATAATTATACTGAGTTTGTTTTAATTAACTGACAAAATTTTATTAGTACAAAATTGTTTTTAACAATTATATAATTCATTACAAAATATATTTTTCCCACTTTGGTTATAATTAATTGTTTTGAATGTCATTAAATAAGAATTTATATATTATTATTATTATGTAATTTTATCTAAAACAAACAAACAAAAAAAAAAAAAAAGCTAAACTTTTAAATAATTGACCATATTGATTCTGTGTCAAAATATTACTAAACTTTACCCATGATGATAAAATTACTGATAAAATGTCATTGTTTAAAAAAAAATATTAAATCCATTCTTATATTATTTATATGATTAGAATTAAATCAAAAAATAATTTTTTTTAAAAATAAAATTTGTTTTATTAGATTATTAATTTTTATTATAAATAAAAAAAAAAAAAGCATAAATAATAATAGCAAATTATAAAAGCAATGATAAAAGGAATTAACATCAGACATTAATGGTGGCAAAAAGTTAAAATGACGTCACAGTTTTATATGTGCGCCATGTTTGTCGCACACAAGAAAAACGATCACACTGTTTTTAATTATTTCTAAGGTCAACAATCAGTAAAGGGTTCAAATTAATTTATTTTTGTTTAATTTATTTATTTATTTTTTTTTTTTTTATAAATTTTGTTTTACGAAAATTTTGTTTAATAAATAATGTTTGTTTATAAAGTAAGTAAATTTACAGTTTAAATAAAAATCATATTTAATATAACAAATTAACGATTGATAAAAATACCTTTATTTATGTGTCATTTGATAATAATAATAATAAGTCGATTAAAAATAATATTATATAAATTGACGAATTATTTTTATTCTTTTATTATTATTATTATTATATTTTAAATGATGCTAAGTATAAATGAATTTTAATATTTACAAATTTTTATTCGTTAATAATTATTTCATTGTAGTAGAGTATTTATTGTTTGTTTTTGTAATTTAAATAAAATTACGATAACAAGATTGCAAATAAAAATATTATATTTTTGAAATATAATTTTAAAGTTTTGTTCTTCAATAACATTATATATATATATATGTGTGTATAAATATTAAGTTGTATTTTAAATAATCAAATTTTCATTTTTATAGTACACCAAGTATGATTCATTTTGTGATAAATGATCGTGTCAATTGTTATGTTTACTTAACGAATATTATTATAATTTAATTAGGTTATTATTTTTCAAAATGTAATCATATCATTTTATTATATCAAAATATTTTGCTTGTTTCATTATCATTGTTATGCATACACATATATATGTGTGTATTATTTAATTTGCAATTTGATCTTTCATTGAAATATTTCTCAAAATAAATTTTTGATTTATTATTTTATTTATTTTCAGGTGTAGAATATAAAAAATAATAATAATAATTTCATAATGTATAATAGTAGAGTTTAATTTGCTACAAGTAATTGAGGATTTACTACGAATAATGTCTAGTCCAAATAATGTTAATTATGAAACTAACAACAACAACAACAACAACAACAATAATTTGACAAAATTAAAAAATGTTAAACCTCCACTTTTACCAAAACCTCAAATAATAAAATTAGAGTCAGGAAATCATAGAGTCATTAAATCAAATCCTAATTCGCCTGAAATTAATAGTAATTCAAAGATAGACGATAGAAAAAGTAGTAGTTATTCAGTACAAAAAACAATGAAATATCAAAATGATAAGCAATCTCATAAACCTAATTCTAAACCTCCTTATATATCTCCTAAGCCACAGTTACCTTCTAAATTACATGTTCATGAGTTAAATTCAGAAACTGTAAATAATACAAATTTATATAACAATGTTGGTTCGAAAGTTAATTTAAACAATGACTCTATTGAAAATAAATTAACAACAGAAACCTCAACAAGTTATGAACACAATAATAGTGGTCTAGGGCTGCACACAACTTCAGATAATCAAGATTTGCATCGAGTTTCTTTGGATGAAAAATTTAAAAATCCTATTTTAGGAAAAAATGGGGATTTAAATCAAACAGTGAAAGATCTATTTAACAATCCTGAACAGTTAACAGAATTTTGCAAGCAAGTCGAAATGTGTTCCAAACATTCTCATTTGCTTAAATATAATGTCGATACAACTGCAAATTGTCAAAAATGGGAAAAAAACTTGGATGAATTAGATTTAGCATTAAGTAATAGAAATATTAAAATTAATACGAGTGAAATGGTGAAAATAAATGAAATGCCATACAATTTAATTAACAAATCAAATTTAACACAAATCTTAGACTGTACAAATAATTTAGATGAATTCGAACCAAAGGAATCTTTAATAAAAGAAAATACAAAAATTCTAGAGTATATATTTATTTTTTTCAGTAATAATATTTAAATTAAATTATTTTTCGACAAAAATAATTTAAAAAAATTTTTTCTTATAGCTGCACTAAGAATTCAAATCAATCCAATAGTTTAGAATCACCAAAATCTTTTTTACACAGTTACACAAATTCAAGCAATCAAATCAAAGAAAACGTAATTCAAAATTGTGAAAAATCTGAAAAAAAAAAAAATGATAACGTTTCATCTTTTTTATACAAAAACACAATTAATTGTAGTTTTAAAGTAAACAAAAATAAACGTTCAGGACAGGAGCACAATGAAATGACGTCAGATAATTTTAATGAAAATCCTATTAACGATAATGCGGATAACAATTTCAATACTGATAAGAAACGATCTTTAAAATTAGATACAACTAAAAAAACAGGTAAAAGTATTAATTGTTAATTTAAAAAATAAAAAATAACGCGTTTTATATTTATATTTATTGCGGGTTTTAAATAAAAAATTTCGATATATGTTATTTTCAAAAACAAAAGATGAATATGTACCAGGAGGAGACACGTCTAATTCGGATGGTTCATCATTTTCAAAACGTTTTCCATGGTTTGGATCATTCGGAAAAGGGAATAAAAAAGAAAACAGGCAAAAAGAAAGATGCGTTAGTCAATTTTATGCATCAAGTAATGTAAAAGATTCAATATTTCATGAAAAAAATAGAACTAAATCATTGCCTAATATAAAACACCCACGTGAGTTTTAAACTTGATTATTATTATTATTATGAATTTAAATTTACCTTAAAATATAAATGAATATTTTTTTTTTTTTAAAAAACTTTCATTGATATCTTCAATAATTGAATGAAAAAAAAAAAAAAATTTAATTGTTATACTTAATTAAAATTTGTTAAATTTTTTTTTGTTGTAGGAGTAGTTTCAGACGTTAACAATACATCAGATAAATCTCACGATTCTAGAAATTCATCCCAGCATTTAAGAGTGCCTAATTTTTATCCTCACAGTGATTCGGACGATGATAAAGATAGCGTAAATCAAATTGAAATCAGTTTCACCGACAAAGACTGTAATAGTAGCAGAGCCTTTTTAAAAGCGAAGGAATTGATGACGTCCGAGGAAGTTTTTATAGACGTTTTAAAATTATTAAATGTAGATTTTCGTAATTTTGTACAAATGAAAAATCACGAAACGAAAAACTCTTGCATACCAAACACGGAAGTCAATAAAATATTAAATCATTTGTCTCAGCTTCAAAGTTTAAACGAAGACATTCTCGAAGATTTACGTAAGAGGATCGAAAATTGGGACACGAATCCCAAGATATCCGACGTAATCGTTAAAAAGGGTGCATTTTTAAAAATGTACACGACATACATACAAAATTTTGAATCGCAAACGAATTATTTAGATGAATGCATGATTAAATATCCGAAATTTGGTAAATTGGTTAAAGAATTTGAAAGTTCGGACAAATGTAAAAAATTATCATTGAAACATTATATGCTCAAACCTGTACAAAGAATACCACAATATAGACTATTGCTCAACGATTATTTAAAACATTTAGACGAAGGGTCTGTTGATTATGCAGACACCGTAAGTGCTTTAAATATTGTTTGCGATGTTGTCGATCATGCAAATAGAAATATCGGTCACGGTGTAAGTAAATTATTTTTATTCATTCATTCATTCATTCATTCACTATTTGTTTATTTAACTTTATTTTTATTTTTTTTGTTTCAGGACAAAGAAGGAAGGTTGATGCACTTTCAATCGCTTTTGGGAGAATACGCACTTATCAAACCGGGAAGAGCTTTAATTAAAGATGGACCACTTGAGAAAATATGCAGGAAAAGTGTGAAGGACAGGTATTTTATTTTGGTAAGTTTAAAACGATAGATAAGTAAATAATAGTATTTATTTACAAAAACTAATAATTAGAAACGCGAACAGAAAAAATTTTTTTTATTTTAATTTTTTTTTTTTTTTTTTTTAATTTCAGCTTAACGATTGTTTTTTACACACGACTTATTCAAAGCAGTATTTAAAAATTCATCAAGAATTACCGCTGTCGGGAATGAAAGTTTGTTTGAACGATGATGAAAAGTATTCCAATTCCTTTACTGTTCACAGTATTAAAAGAAGTTTTATTTTGTGTGCGAAAACGGAATCCGAGTGTAAAGATTGGGTTGAAAAACTTCATGGAGCCATAGAGGAACACATAAAAAAGCAGAAAACTTTTTTAAATGTCAAAATCGAAATGAGCGATAGTTTCAAATTGGGAAAAGAAGCTCCCGTATGGGTTCCCGATGGAAAAGTTACCATGTGTCAAATATGCACGGCTGAATTTACGGCTTTGTTCAGGAGACACCATTGTCGAGGATGTGGTAAAGTTGTTTGTAGAAATTGTGGGAGCAATCAGGCTCCTCTTCAATACACCAATTTCAAATCGGATAGAGTTTGCGATCAATGTTTTGATTTATTACTCAAAGGTAAGGATTTTTTAAATTTATTTTAATTAATATTTTTAATAAAAAAAAAAAAAAAAATTTTTTTTTTCAAATAGAATTTGAAGATTCGGAAGATGGTATATGTGATTTTTTAAAAGAAACATTTAATATTACGGATGAAGGCGTACAAAACGAGTATTTATACATAAAATCCAAATTTGTTAAGTACAGCTCTGCGGGAAACGGTAAAAAACCAAAATACATTCCGCCTAGATTAAAAGAAGTATCGGCCAATGACTCTGAATCTTCGATGAGTGGGTGGCTTTACAGGTATACATTTTCATTTATTTATTTATTTTATTGTTCTTGTTTATTATTATAATTATTATTATTGGGAAAAAACTAATTTGTACGTGTCTATTTATTTATTTAGAAAATCTCGAAAATCTTGGAAAATGTTTTGGTACGTTCTTAAAGATCACGTTTTATATGTGTACAAAGCTAGCGAAGACGTGTTGGCATTGGAAACGATACCAGTTTTAGGATATGAAGTTGAACGAGCTAAGGTAAATTTTTGCTTTAATCCTCATTTTCAAATTGGTATTTGTCGAATGGTTGGTTAGGTTTTCCTCCTTTTCTTTTTTCCAGGTAAATTTTGAGGAAATAGATAAAAATTTAATATTTTCTCTCGTTCATTCATCTCAAATGCCTCTTATTTTTCGTGCAGAATCTCAAACATCAGCTGATAGGTATTTAAATAATTAATTGTGTTATTTTTATTTTCGAAAACAAGTATACCACGCATTTACGATTATTTTTAGGTGGTACGAAGCCTTAACTGCAGCATCAAATTTCGATTCGATCACAATTTGAAAAAATTAATTTGAGTGGGGTAAAAAAAAAAAAAAAAAAAAAAAAAAAAATTGCTCAATATTCGTCGCGAACCTCAAAAAATTATTAAATTTTATTGCCTACGTAGTATCATATTAAATATTTTTTTTATATACAAAGAAATAACCAATGAAAGTTAGTGTACAGTAATAAATTTTCTTTTATGTAAAATAATATTTTAGTCAAAACATAAAAAAATTTTTTTAAAAATAATATTTGAATAATTAATGATTTCAGTCACTTACGGTCAATTACTTTAAATTAACCAAAATCTAAGGCGGCCTTCATTTTTTTTTTTTTTTTTTTTTAATTAAAAACACGTCAAACGTTTCTTTTTATATAAAAAAAAAAAAAAAAAATTTTTTTTAATTATGAAATATTTATAGATATATTTAAATTTTTCATTTAAATATAAAGTTTATCTGTTGTATCACTTTTTTTTTTTTTAGTTATCTTTATAAAATATTTATTATTGTTTTATTATCGCAAGCCAAAAAAAATGTTTTAATTATATATATATTTTGTTTTGTGCATTTGTTTTATTTTTAAAAAAATGTCAATAAAATATTTATTTATATTTTAATAATTTTTCAATCAGTTAAAATTTTTACTATCTATTGGAATTGTAAGTGTCATTATTATGTTAATGGAAAAAATTACTTTTTTTTTTTTTAGGAAAAAGAGAAAACACAAATTAAATATTTTTATTTAAGAATTAATTGAAAGTATGTTTTAAAAAAAAAAAAAAATCACGGATATAAATTCAAGGTCTTTAAAAAAATTTTTCACGTTTTTTAATAAAATTTTAATATAAAAGGGTGCAATTTGTAAAGGGCAAACAGGGAAATCAGTTAACATTTTAACAAAATTATTTTCTCAAAATTGTAAACCATATTTATTTTTTATTTATGCAATTTTTAATGATGGACCTAAATGTGATAAAAAACTTTCTAACCACGTGAATCATTTTTAATAGAATTAAAGAAATAATCATGATCGTAAAAAAAATTAAGATTAGCTAATTTTTATTTCGAATTTTAATTTATTACTAACATATATTCGTATTTTTTTTTAGGGGGTTTAAAGCTAAAAAGCTTTAATTTTGTTTACATTTAATTGTAATAATTTAAATGCACATTTTTTAACGTTTATCAATATTAAGATCAATGACGTTTTTACCTTTTCATATTCTATGAAATTTAATTTGTAAAAAAAAAAAAAAAAAAAAAACTTAAAATATTTTAAGACGTAAGAGGAGTTAAATGGTATTAATATATGAAATTTAAGTTTAAATTTTTTTAAAATTGTTAAATTTTTTATTTCAACGTGAATTTTATTAAAAATTTTATTACTTTTAATTAAGAAATATGTTGGTATCTATTTATTCTATGGAATGAGATAAATGTAAAAACGCATGCGCGAGAAAGAATACAGCCATCGCCCAATTGAATTAGATATTTAATTATACATTGTGAAACAACAATTTGAATGTTCTTATTTTTAAAAATTGATAATTTTCCTAGATGAAATAAAGTTTAATCTGTTTATGTTTTATGTGTGTGTTTATTGTTTTGTGTTTCAAATCGGATATCAATCGCTGCGAATTCAGAATGGCGGTCTAGTCGTCGCAAAGTATTTTTCAGCAAATAAAAAAAACGCCCAGTTCGAATTTCGAACTGATTACGTTCTTTTTGGGTAAGGAAAGCGTTATATATAGCTTTTATTAACGAGTCACGCTCCTGTGTCTTTAATTCGTACAAAATTGTTATTTTTTTTTTTTTTTTACTTTATTGATTTGTGTATGTGCCGTTTCGTTAAAAAGAGTATGTAGTCAAAAATGGATGTGTGCTTCTTAATTGTATTTATTTAAAATAAATTATGTTATGCTATGATAATATCAATTAGGTAAGATTAAAACCTTTTTACATTTAGAGTATTAAAATAAAATTTCTTAATTACTTGCTGACTCAGTCAGTTTATTTTAAATGTTTCACATTCTGCGGTTTAATAAAAAATTTTTAATGAGTGTTTTATAAATCTCGTTTTTCCTGAATTAAAAAAATACATTCGTTTAAAAAAAATACAAATATTTTTTAATTAATTAATTAATTAATGAGGAATTTTTTTTTTGTTTTATCTTATATACATTCATTATTCTTAGGGTCTCTTGAGTTATTTTTAGAAAATATAAATTTTTTTTATATAAATTAATCAGTTATTTATCAAATGCAACCAAGTATATTATATATATATATATCTCATTAAATTCTTTCCATTCGCAAATAAATATTATTATATATAAACATTGTTTAACTCTTATTTATCGAACAAGTTAACTTACTAAGTAAATATTTTAAGTACAAAATGCTTTCTTTTTTTTTTCGAATGCCATATGTATAAGTTAACTTGGGCAATGATGAAAAAAGTTAAATTAAAGTAAAAAATATAATTTTAAAAATATTTAACATAAATTCATTGCATTTAAGTGCATGCGATAAATTAATTAAAGTCGACGAAAGTTTTTTATTCGCATTTAAAAATTAGATTAAATTTTTTTCTCATTTGTTTTTTTCTATAAAAAAAATTTATTCAGATTATTTACAAAATTATAAAAGTTTTCTCATGGTGGTTCTTTATTTTTTGTTTTTTTTTTTTTTGTTTTGTTAGCATTTAGTTAATGCCAAAGAAACTCAAAGGAATTCAAAATGTTGTTTATGCTTGATTAGTACATTATTCGAATGTTGGCAATTAAACATTTGAAAATTATCCAAAAAAAAAATTTTTTTGTTTTTTTATATTTTAATTATCCTCAGACCAAGTTTAATAATTATTCAGGTGTATTTTTATGGACAAAAATTTTTTATTTATCCATTTGTGTTTTATATAACTACTATTTTATTATATGCATTCTTTTAAAGTGTATGAATCATATTTGTTATTAATAATTTTTTTTTTTTTTTTTTGAATTAATCATCAGTTGTTTGATTCATACTTTCTTAAAATTTATATATTATTACTACAATGAACAAAAATATACTAAACTAGTTTTGTTTGTAATTGTTTATATATATATATATTATAAAATAAAATCACACTCATTATTTATAAAAGTATTTTAAATCGAAATGTGTAGTTATCAAAAACAATTTGGTCGTTTGCTTTGAAGGTCAAATTGCATTCAATTAATAAACATAAAGGAAAGAAAAAAAAAAAAAAAAGGGAAAATATGTTGTTGATCAGATTAGATGTGATAATTTTGTACAGAGTATTATTACATTAATTAATTAAACATTAAATTTTAGGAGAAATGTTTTCGAAAAAAAAAACAATTTTAAATATTGGCATTTGTTTTTTTAATGAACGAATGTTTACTAAACATAAAAAAATTTGTTTATTAAATAATTTTTTAACACCTCACCATTATTATTATTATTAATATTTCATTTTTTGATTTCACTTAATAAGGTTATCACATAATTTTAAACAATGAAAAAAAAAAAAAAAAAAACTTGTGTCAGTTTTGTAAAACATTGTTTCGAATGTAAGTGAGTGGGTCTTGTTGAACGAGTAGTAGTTGTCTGTTTAATAGGTTAAATTAATATCATTAGAATTTACCATTTTTGATCAAGGAATCGATGAGAATAGAAACAAACTCCCTAGTTATTTAGTCTGTTTTTTAATAAATATGTCCAATTTTAAACATTTAAATTCTTTTCTTTTTCCCCTCCCCTCCCCCCCTCACTCTCCCCTCCCCCTCTTCATTTAAATGGTAATAAAAGAGTTAAAGAGTAAAGACTGGTGATTAAATAAGTTCATGGTAAATAAAAATTTTCATTTTTTGAATTGTGTGTAAATTAAAGAGAAACGTCGTCACTTTAAAAAAAAAAACCATAAAATTAATATTGTAAATGATTTTTCATTGATGATATAAATAAATAAATAAATAAATAAATTTTTAAAATTGATTTTTACGATTTCCCCCTCCCTCGCCCCCCGCCCCCCCGCCATTTTAAAATTCATAAAAAATTTTTTTTAATTTTATTTTTACATGAAAAAGAATTTATTTTGCATTTTTTTTTCTTTTTTTTTAAATTAATATGTATATGAAAGCATAAGTTTTTTTTTTTTTTTTATTATTTGTTTAACTTTCAGTCAATCAATAAAGGGGGGAGGAGGAGTGGGGGGAAACCAACAAGTTACATTTTAAAATTTTAATATTATATATAGTCTTTCAGTTTAGAAAATTTATTTATTTATTTATTAATAACGTGAGAAGAAAAAAAAAAAAAGAAAAATAATAGTAAATCTCAATTACGTAAAATGTTATAAAAATTAAAAAAAGGAAAAAAAAATGAATTGTCACGTGATGGAAAATCAATTTTCATTTTCACGAGTTTTTCTTTTTTTTTTTTTGAGAGAGAGAGAGAGAGAGAGAGTTACATGTATATTCACATATATATATATATTTTTTTTTTTTTTTTTTTTTATTAAAAATGAAAGCGGGGGGGAAGGAAAAAAAACAAACTTTTTTTCATTTTCCATTTGTGAATTTGTGAAAAATTTTATTTTTAACTCGTGACAGTTATCCCCAAAAAAAAAAACAAAAGAATCATTATTATCAGATTTAAATACAAGCCGGAAAAAAAAAAGAAAAACAAAAAACAAAACAAAAAAATGGGTTTTCGTTTCGATATTTTTAATTGTTAATCCAACGAATCGTTGTTGTTGTTATTATTATTATTATTATTATCATCATCATCATCATCGCGGTGTTTATATCGTTCTTATTTATTTTTGTTTTATTATTCTCACGTCTACTCAACTACAAGAGTAGTTGTAATACAATAAATTAACAATAAACAATTAATTAAATAATAATAATATTAATAATAATAATAATAATTATTATTATTATTATTATTATTACTTTCGGTTAAATGTGAGATTTGTTAAACGCGTTTCGGATGATTTCTTGTCATTGATTTTATTGATTTTTTATACCATGCCCTCTTAAATTTCAATTTAAAAAAAAAAAAACGATTTGTACGATTTTATTATTATTATTATTATTATTATTATTATTATTATTATTATTATTATTATTATTATTATTATTATTATTATTATTCTTGATTTTATGGCGCTTCTTTTGCATTATAATAATAATAATAATAAAATTATGGATGAATTTTTTGTAAATTCCAAAATTTATGAACGAGTAAAAAAAAAAAAAAAAGAGAAAAAGAAGGCGTGGGAATATCAGTGAATATGGTTAAAATTTGATGATAATAATAATAAAAATAAAATAAAATATTTT